CTCTGGGATCACAGGCGTGAGCTACCATGGCTGCTAGCATTCGTATTCTTATTTTTGCAGTGCTGGGGATTGAGCCCAGCACCTTGCACATGCTAGGCGAGTGCTCTACCACTGAGCTACACCCTAAGCCCTAAGCCTCCTTTTCTGCCTGGACAGATCTCATCTTCATCTGAGAACTTCTTCCCACATGGGTCACTGTTACTGTCCCCTCACAAAAGCCTCTGAGGTCAGGGGTCTGTGCTGCTCATGCTGCATCCCCTGCTGGGGGGACAGCTGCAGATGCAGGGGCTTGGTAGGACCTGTGGGCTGAATGGGCCCTATGACAGCTTTATCTTCAGGGTCCAGATGAAGAACCTGGAACAGGGAAGTGAAGTGGCTTTGCCAAGGTGGCAGCATGAGGGGGACCAGCCCTGGCTCCACTGGTGCCACAGGCCACATTTCTTCTCTGAGTCCTGGGGGTGGGACTGGGCTTGGTGGAAAAACAGCCTCCATGGTATAAAAGAAGAACCCAGGGAGTGAAGCAAAGCAGGTTCTCCAGGTCCCGAGGCAAGGGGATGTCAACAGTGGACAAGGGGCTCTTGAGGACAGACTCAGAGGAAGCCTGTTGACCTGTTCATCGGGCCACGTGCTCTCAGAGGCCCAGCCTTGAGGGAAGAGCACTTCAAGGTTACCTGGGCAATAGCTTCCCAGTTGTGTGAAGGGGGGGCAGGACTGGGAAAGGGCTGGAGAGAGGGTGGGTGGGTGGCATGGTATTTTTTGTTGGTGTGTGCTGATGGCCCATGGCACCTTGCCCTCACAGTCTCCCATCTGGTGCTGTCATCATCTGCCTGACTCCTCGTCACTGCCCCAGGATAGCAACACCACACACCAGACACCAGACACCAGACAAGGGGTTAAGGCCTCAGGGTCCTGCATGCCGAACAACAAGAACCACATTTTGAGGCAACATGCCCGAAACATGTCCACTTCCTCCCAGGCAGTCAGCATCTGGAGCTCTGGGAGCATTATCAGGAACTGGTTTCCTGTTCCCTTTGAATACCAGCCATGGCTTTGGGACCAGGCTGGTGAAGATTCAGCCCCACCCCCAAACCGGGAAAAGTCCCCGAGCATTTGGTAATGGAGAGGACAAAGCACGAAGAGCAAACAGTGGGCAGGCCATCGGCAGCCTAGCCCCAGCTGGAAGCCACAGGCTTGGGCAAGAGACCATGAGAGAAACCCAACCAAGGCCGAGGAGGCACAGAGGAGCTGGGTGGTGTGGGGGTGGGGGGAAGTGGACAAATGGGCCAGGGGCCACTTCATCTCTGACTCACACACTGGCCTGGGTGGCTCTCCTAGCACTAGGGGGTGGGTATAGGCTTTGGAGCCTAATGGCTCCAGCCACCAGCTGTGTGACCTCAATGTCTCTGCGCAACAATGTCAACTTTTAAGTGGGGCAATGCTTGCCTGTAAAGTGGGGGAAATACTTAGTGGTCAGACATGTCATGTGAGATGCCAGTGTTCAGCATGGGCACACAGGGGCCAGGGCCCCCAGTGTGGCGGTGACAGCCGGCCTCCTTCCTTACGACTTGGGACAGTACTTCCTGTCCCCTCTTCATGCTCCCACCCCTAGATGAGTCCTGTCTCCAAGGCTGTGGGACAGAAATGTTCCAGAAGGGCAGGCCGGGGTGGAAGGGGAGTGTTCTGACAAATGGTCGCAAATGCCCGTCGCCTGCAGCTGCTACCGTCTCCATGACAGAGGCTGGCAGCTGAGCTGCTGCCAGGCAGCGCTCTCCAGGAACCTCAGGCTGGCCCAGCCCAGCAGGGACCCGCAGCAGCTGGAGGGCAGGGGTGGCCTCTCATGTGAGGATGAGTCCTGAGTTTCTGAGGGGAGGAGGGACAAGAGGATTGGTGGGGAGAGGCGGGTGCCAAGGTCTCCTGGTGTCCCAGAGAACCTAGGGAAAGGGACACGTTACAGATCAGGGATGTTTTCCGGAAACACTTTTCTTTTGTTGCTGGTGACACCACCCTCTCCTGGTTTTCCTCTCGCCTGACTGCGCCCCTTCCTCTGAGGCGGGGTGTCCCTCTGCTCGTCTCTGGTCTGCATCTCCCAGTGGTCCTGATGGGATTCTGGATATGTCAGGAGTTGCCTGGCGATCAGGGCTGCCCTGGCCCCAGCCCTGCTGAGCTCTGGGTGGGACAGCACTTGTCAGGCGATGGCCCTGCTCAGCCATCTACAAGGCATTTCAAACTTTGTGGGACCACAACCCCATTCTTGGGGTCCCTGGAGACTCCCTTCCTGTCTCAGTAATGACGTCACTGCTCACTCAGCTGCTCAAGCCCAAACCAAGGAGCCCTCCTCCCTCACCCAGCCCCGTCATCAGGCCATTAGGTCCAGGAGCCTCACCTTCAGAGCACCTCCTGCCTCGGCCTCCTGGTCCCATCTCAGCTACCATCGCACCAGGGCAACTGCCAGCCACGTCTTGCTGGGTCTCTCTCCTGCTATTCCTCTCACCCTCCCCACATCAGCTGGGGCCATCCTATGCAAGGCCCGCCCTTGCTCTAGCCTCGTCAGGGGCTTCCTCCTGGATCTAACACAGAGCCTGGCTCGTCTGTCCTTCACTAGGGATGTCCCAGCCTCTCGGGCTTTTCTTCTGTTCCGGGTCTCACTTTGCCTGCTGTGCAAAAAGGCTTTCCCATGGTCTGGCCCATGGCTGGCTCCCTACTGTGACCAAGGCCTCAGCTCAACCCTGGGTCCTGGGGAGGCCACTCTGATGTGCCCTGTCCTCCCACCAGCCCCTTCTAAAAATGGGACCAATGTCTTTCAGAGTGTCAATCACTATGTTATGTTGGTGTCCTTGTTTGCTGGGTTCCTGTCTCACTCACTAGAATATGAGTTGCAAAGGCAGGGCCTTGTCTGTGACCCACGTGAGCCTCAAACCAAGAGGGCCTGGTGTCCGACAGCCACTCCATCATCACTGTTAGGTGTCACTGAACAAAGGGACCTTGCTCATCTTGCTTAGAGTCTTCATGCTAGACTCCATTCCAGCAATGTTCTCTCTGCTCACTTCTGTCAAGTTCTTGCACACTGCCCTGATATTACACTTTTGCCCTCATGCCCACCAGGCCAGGGCCTCTGGTGAGGGGGGCACATCATGGTGGGAGCACATATTGGAGCAGACCACTTACATGAGAAGGCAGAAAGCAGAGGCACTGAGGAGAGAAGTCTCACAATCCCCTTCAAGGTCATGTCCCCAGTGACCTAAGAACCTCCCATAAGGCCCCACCTCCTGAAGGCTCATAGCAACTCCCAGCAGCACCACTCCGAGGACCAAGTCTTTAACATGTGGCCCTTTGGGGCACGCTATCCACACTCCTATCAGCTCCTCCTTGTCAGGAGTCCCCTGCTGGAGACAAGACTGCAGAGGGGAGGGAGAGCTAGGAACAAGCACCAGAGTGCACAGTGCTGGGGAGCCCTCCAGCATGCTCTGGACATTCGCTGCTACCCTGGCCCCAGAAGGGTGCTGGGCAGAACCAGGAAGGGCTCCTTGGGGGTCATGGCTCCCAGGGCTCTGTTTCTGGCAGTGTCAGTCCTGTGGCTGTGGCAAGGGGAAGAGAGCAGAGATGGGGGCCAAACTTGCTTCACCCAAAGACATTCTTGGTTTGGGGACATGGAATCTCCCAGGCTGCATTCACAAAACCTCAAGGAGAGGAATAATAGTGACGGTTTTAGCTAAGTCAGGGCACTGTGAATAGACGACACGTGCCATGTGAACCTTCCGGGATCTGGCCAGGCAGTGATGGCCGGGAACAGCAGCTCCTATTCTGTTCTGGGTCATCACCAGGTACACGGCCCTGTCCTGGGTGTCCAGGACAGAGGGAGGCTGAATCTGGGTCCTTCAGCTGGACCCTGTCTTGGAGAGCTCTGAGGTCACAGCAGGATGCCAGTATCTACTCTGGGGTCAAGAAGTGGGGAAGGAAGAAGGGGGGTCCACTTTTCATTGCAACCACAAATCCATGACGGGATCTGCCCAGGCAGCCTCAGTTTCCATGTGCCTGACCCTGGCTTCTGAGCCCCTCCTGTGGCTTCTTGCTGACTCCTCACACAACCTAGGCAGGCTACAGAGGTTATAGGATTAATACCCTCCTGAAGAGGAGTCTGAAGTTCAGAAAGGACCCACACCATCACTCACAAAGCTAACCAGGGGAGGGGGAATGGAGATTCAGAGCTGGAAGAGCCAGCTTCAGAGCCCAAGTTTCTCTTCAACACTCTGTTTCTCTGGTGCCCATCCCTGCTGGGTAGAGGCCTGGCAGATGGCTGCCTCGCAGGGCTGCTGCGTCATCACTTCTCTGTTGAGCCCCAGCCCGGCTTGAGCAGCCTGCCTGGCTCTCAAGCATAGCGTCAATAATGGAACACAGCTTGCAAGTATTATACATTTGCCCGTATTTTTTCATACCCACATTAAAGTGCTATTCATCATGAGACAATGGCCTGGAAAGTGCTTGGGGACAAGGCAGAGAGGTGGGGTGGGAGGGAACCTGAATGAGGACACAGCGCACCTCTTGCGCCATCTTGGAGGTGGACAGGGTGCACATCCATATGTGCTGAGTTGGTAAGAGGCCTCTGGTGTGCAGCCTGACCCGGGGGGAGGACAGCCGTGGCCAGGAGGGAGGAGGCATGACCATCAGGAGGAAGGGCTCCCCACTTGGCAGTGGAGCCACGGGCCTTCGTCCGGGCTGTGCCGTGGGACCGTGGCTCTTGCACACAGACTGGAGCCCTGATGGTCATGGCGCTGCCTCTCCCTTTGGGCCGCCCGCTGTAGCCTGTTGTTCCCCTCCTTCCAGGTGTGGTTTCAAGCTGGGAGCAGCAGCTTCTGGTTGCTTCCTCTGCCACATACCAGGAGTTCTCAGGGGACCTACGTGCCCACTCTGAACTCTCTAGGACCCAGGAGAGGGGTCGTCGCTTTCCCTTACCAGCTGAGATAGTGCTGTCTTGCTCATAGAAATGTCTTTCTTTGGGGCAGTCTCAGAACACCAAGGCTTGGACGTTACTGGGACAGGGACACTCTGAGACAATGTCTGCCTGGAAGTGGCTGTCCCACACCTGCCAGCTGCTGTGATCCTCTATCACTGTCTTCAACACGGACACTGGTAAGCATCACCACGCACCAAGATCCAGGCCTGGACTGCTGCTTGCCTTGGCGACAGCCCACGACAAAAGCTGCTTTGCCAAGTACTCTTTGGCCTTGTGGGGCCTCATGCCTCTGGATGGCCCTAGACTAGACAGTCACCCTGTAGCCACGTGGCTGTAAATCAGCAGAGGGACTGCTCTTCTCTGTTCTGTCCCAGGTTGTAGGGAAAGGGGCCACAAGCTGCTTCTCCTCCAGGTACCTGACAGGCCAACTCAGCATAAGTCAAACCTTGGTCTGGAGGATAAGACCTCCTGGTGGCTTTAACCCTCAACTTCTGGGGCTCTGCACAGAGCAGAAGAGCTACCACGTGGACTCCACTCTCCATGGGAGCAAGGGCTGCTTCTGCAGCCAAGGGCTTCTTCTTCTTTTTTTTTTTTTTTAAGAGAGAGAGAGAGAATTTTGATATTTATTTTTTAATTTTTGGCAGGCACATCTTTGTTGGTATGTGGTGCTGAGGATCATCTTTGTTGGTATGTGGTGCTGAGGATCGAACCCAGGCCGCACGCATGCCAGGCGAGCACGCTACTGCTTGAGCCACATCCCCAGCCCAGCCAAGGGCTTCTCTTGGCCATTTGGCTCCTGAGGCTGAGGGGCCATCGTGGGGGCCTGTGTGGAGCATGAAGAACTCCACATGGTAGTGGGAGGACTGTGGACAGATCCTTTCACAATGGAACCACCCTGGGTGCCTGGAGGCAGGGCAGGGCAGGGTGTGAAGGTATAGGTACTGGGAACAACTGGAGCCCCCAGTGGGAGAAGCTGGGAAGGGCCTCCTTCACAGCACTATCTGCAAGGAGCAGGGGTCCCAAACTGCAATGAGGGCCCTAAAGGGAAGAAGCCCAAGTTCACAGGACCCTTGAAGGGTAAGAATTCCACCAGGCTTTGCCTGGGGAATCTCAACTTTGCCATGTGGCTTCAGGGGAGACGTTTCCCATGACCCTACTCCTCTGCTCCGAGAACAGGATGAGCAAAACTGCCAAGATCAAACATGGCCTCCCCCATCCACACTGTCAGCAAATCATTCCCTGGTCCCTTGGCCATTTGCTCGTGACACTCATGTTGACTCCCATTTGTGACTCCTCTGGCTTTGCCACCCAATAAAGGTATGCGGACACCCCACCACCCCTGCCTACACTGCGATTGCTACAACACTGCACGAGGACCTGAGGGTGGCCGGGGAGGGAGCCATTCCACACACGGGGCAGTGCCTGCTGCTGCCCGCTCCCTCCTGCGCTCCCTCCTTCCTCAGGCCTGGCTTTTTTTTAGGGAATGACAAGAGGCAGAAGCAGATGAGGCCTCTGACCCATGGCGGGGATGCTGGGTGAGCATTCAGCCTGGGCGGACGGGAGAGGCTTAAGCTCAGGAATGCCTGGGTGCCCGCTGGCCAGACAGTATAGGCCTGCAGGGTGCTGGGCACGGCCTACTCCTTTGGCAAGCCAACCCCAGGCTATTACAGAGCAAGGTGTGGGAAGGGCACCAGAGGGACCCGAGTTTAAGGGGAAACGGAGGTGAGTGATCATCTTCCCCTGGACATCTGACATTCTCTACTGTCCCAAACAATGTCACCCCACTAACAAATCCCCTAGCAGAGCACAGAACAGCTGGCCTGTGGGGAAGAGACTCGACTCAAGTCTCCTGAGTGGAGCTGGCGGTGCTGAGCTGGGAGTGCCCACCTCCTGCTGCAACCTTTCCAGTTGCTATTAATACCGTCCAGCTCTGCTCCAGCCCTCGCTTGCCTCTCAGCACGAACTGGCCCACAACAAACAGAAAATGTAAGCCTCAGCTGGTAGGAGGACAACTGTGGCCAGGAGGGAGGGCATGTCCCAGCTCTTTAGTTCTCCCTGACCCTCTCCCACTGTCCCTGGTGCAATCGATGGAACCAGTCCTTGAGAGGTGTCTTGTTAGTGGCACATGAGAAGCAGGGTCTGGATACTGCACTGGCAGCCTCCTGTTAGACTGGCTCTACCAGATACAGCGAGGAGCCTTCTGCTTCCTCAAACTGCTCTAAACTCTCGATTTGGGGTCTAAGGGGCCCCAGTGCTGCCCTATCTAGCTCTTTGTGCCTCTGCGTCTCTGCCGTCTGGCATTAGAACCTCTGTCTCCTACTTAGGCAGGACCGATTCTCCTGCACCACAGGCTGGACAGGTCCTGCTGCAAACTCAGCTCCTTGGTGGGTCAGGCCTGGGCTCCCATGCTGGCCAGTGCCAGCCCTGGACAGGGGGCCCTAGCACATGACTGGACAGGTAATGCTGGCTCCAGGTTTCTCTCATTGGTTGGTGTGGACTCCTCCCTATACCCACAAGTGGCTTTAGGGCTGGATCAAGTCATTCCATCGCCCCTCTTCCCTCTGGCCTGGGCCTCCTTCCTCCACTTCTATCCTCAGCCAGTCCCACCAGTGGACGGCTCATTTCCTTTCTATACTGGCTAGCAGTGGATGTCCACGCCCCTTGCGCAACCCCAAGGGGGCATGGGAGTTCTAGGAGATGCTGGGGGTCTCCCACCAATCCCAGTGTGCAACCTAACATGGAGGGGAAGAGAATGCAGAAGCCCACAGCCCTTCCCACCAGAGAGGACATGCTGTCTGCAACGTCCGGCCCAATAGCTGGGCTCCTTCAGGAATTTAAAGAGCAAGTAGCTTTGGGTTAGCAGAACCCTAGGGTGGGAGAGGAAGGAGAGGCCTCCCCTATGAGGTTCCGAAAGCCCCCGAGTTTCAATGTGTCTTGCCCCTCCCCCTTGCTCCCTTCTCTTCCAACTCTCTGCTTCCCAAGTATGAAAATTGTAAATCTGTTTTATTTATTTCAATCAATCCTCGGCAGTGTGCCCCTCAGGGCAAAGGCAGCCATGGTAACCCTGCCAACTCATGCCTTAAAAATTCATCGTGTTTAATGCAGTCGATGTGTCTGATACACTTAAAAGTTTCCCGGGGGCGGGGGTGGGTGGAGGGGGAGGAAGAGGAGACACGAGGGCTTGTTTTTCTGGGTCTTGCTGGGAGTTGGTGGAATGGGATGGATGATTGGGAAGAGGCGAGGAAGAAAGGGGCCTTTTGTCCTCTCAGCTATCTGTCCCTCTGTTCAAGAGCAGCTACTGCCAGGCTGGGGGTGGTGATGTCACAGTACCTGGGAGAGATCATATAGAGACTTTCAGGGAAGGTCCCATCAGGGCAGGAATGCTGTAGAAAACCAGGTGGCCTCACTGAGATGGCCAGGTCATTCTGGGCTTGGGCTTTGCTCTAGGGACTAAGCTGAGAACAGGGAAGAGCATGAGAGGTGACTTCTGCCTCCTCTACCGCCCAGGGGGGCAGCTGGCAGCTCTTCCTGACATGGGTAGGGCTCCCCTCTCCAGGACAGAATTCATCTTCTCTCTGGCCCAGGGACTTGCTGGGCTGTATTTTCCATGTGCTCTTATTACTCGACCTGGCCTGTTCCCTGCTGCCTGTCCATAGACAGGCACTTCTCGAGCCCCCACTGGACCTGCACACATCCTTCTTGGGAGAAACCTCGCCCTTTCCTGCCTCCTGGTAGCTGGTGCCCATCATCTCCTTCTGAAAGTTGTAACTGCCCCTCACCCTGGCCCATCCTTGGCTTATACAGTGATCTTCCACAGGAGCTGGACCTCCGTGAAAGTGGGGAGATGGGCACTTGTGGAACAGAAAATTAATGGCCAGGAAGGGACAAGGTGGCTTGGTTACCTTAGTCTGGAATTTGGCTTATATGCAGAGCTGTAGGCAAAGGGACCTAGGGAATCAGGTGAATTCTGAAAATGATAATCGGGGATTCCGTGAGGTTTTGGTTGATGTACTTTCAGAAGCTGCAAGGAGGTCCTTGGAGGGAACTTGGCAGGTGTCTGGACTGAGTGAGTGTGACTTTGTTCAGATACTCCAGAATACGGCTGGGTGCAGTAAGACAGCCCAATTGTGGAATCAGAGCACAGCCCCGTGCTGGAGGTGCTAAAGCTGTGCCGGAGGACCCTGTGGCTCAGCCTAGATATGGTCATGGTGCTAGAGAAAGAGACAATGCAGGGAGACAAGGCTAGTGAGCAGAGAGTGTGGGTGGGGGCCACTGTTCCCCAGGCTGAAAACCCTTGGTATGGCCTCTCTGTGTTTAAGTTTCATCTTTTGAACCCTCAGAACAAATGAAAACAAAGAAATGGGCCACTACCGGAAACTCTGTTGTCTTCATGCTGATCAACTCCAAGAAGCGCTGAGATGGCCAGGGTCTGGGACAGGACAGCTCCTGCCTTCTATGCCCAGGGATTTCCTTTGCTGGAATCACCACTTCCTTCCTCACAGTGCCCATAGATGAGACAGTTGTGGGGCAGGTTCTCTACATTAGATACATCGTGTATGTTAAATCCTTTCAACATGGGACAGGGTTTACTGCAGCCCCTGCCCTAATGGGAATGTGACCAAAGCGTAGATCAGGGGCCTTGTCCAGGCCACATCAGGTCTCTGCCCCAGCACTTCATTTCTTAGCTGCTAAAGCTTCAGCACATCTCCACTTTGAGACTGTAACCCAGTTAGGGGCAACTGTCCATCGGTATTACTGGGATCTTCTTTCTTTCTTTCTTTTCTTTTTTTTTTTTTTGCAGTATCCAATCCAGGACCTGCTACATTCTAGGCAAGAGCTCCACAACTGATCTACATCCCCAGGCCCACCAGGGCCTTCTGATCTCAGAGCCTGTTCTTTCAGAAGCTCGCTAGGGCTCCCGGGCGGTACATCTGCAAACCAATTCCTAACCCGACCCTCCACCTTGGGGCCATGTCTGTAAGTGACAGGCACTGACCACACCTGGCCAGGACAGTGCTGGTCTGTTATTCACACTTAGTTCTGCCCTGCTGGGGTGATGGCTTGTCTCCAAGGGGATGAGAGGGAAGCAGGGCCTGGAAAATGCATCCACAGCTCACAGCCAGGACCTAAATTCAGACTTGGGGGAGGAGTCAATGGGCATGACTTCAACAGCAGGTTCCCAGAGGGACTGGGATGTAGCTCAGCAGTAGAGCACTTGCCTAGCATGCACTGGGCTCTGAGTTCCATTCACAGCACCACAAATACACACAAAAAACCTCCCACCAGCAGCTTCCCAGAAACCTTTGTTAGGGTGGCAGCTTCTGAGTGTGGGTCCCAGGTCAGCTGCCTCCCAAAGTCCAGGGCGGGGGGGATTTTAATATAATGACTCCTGGTGCCCAGGGAGACACGGTTAAAGCTGTTGCTGTGAATCCAGGGCTGATACTGCCAGGGAAACAGCACCCCTGAGCCCCAACTGCCCTGGAGTCTCCTTGGTGACTGTTAGGGAGCCACTGATGTAATCGCTCTCTCCCTCTGAAACCCTCTGGGCTCCGGCCCTCCTAAGCAGGATTTCCTCCTGAGGACGTACTAAGCCTCCCCTGCGGAGGCGGCCCTGCCTGTGAAGAGGCTGCCACAGCCTGGTATGCTGCTTCCTGGTCCCAGATCTGCCCACCATCCATGCCCCTGCCACCTTCCTGCTCCACTCCCTCATGGGACAGAAGAACCTGAAGCCTAGGACTGGTCTCAGAACACACAGTTAGGGACATAGTGGGGTCAGAGCTCGGGTCCCCGACTCAGAATTCATGTACCTATTAGGTCAGATGGTCCCACATGGTGACCTATCCGCAGAGGGTCACAGATCTCCCCTCCCTAGGCTAATCCCTCCTTCCATCCATTCAAGGGCCCCCATAACTACAGCTTGAAGGTCCAGGGGCAGAGATGCCTCCCCACTCCTGCATGTGACCTTACGATGGCTCCTCAGTTAAATTCTGTCTTAGGACAGGGAGGAAAGAAGCACATTTGTAACTCTGCTGCTCCCCTCTTCAAACTACAGGGGTGGCCTTCTGGGACAGAAGGCAAGTGAGTGCCCAGAGTTCAGAGAGTGCCGAAGGGCTGCACCATCATACTCTCGAATGCTGGCATCCCCAGCCCCATAGTCTTCCTGTTACCACACTGTTCTGTTCACATTTTCCTTTATTTCACCCAATTATTCCCACACGAGTCCCTTTCTTCCAGGCCAAGGGATCACCCCCTGCTGCTGTTTATACATCCACAAACAGACGGGCGGTATCCCTTCCACTGTAGTCAGAGTGGAGCCCCATGCGGAGGCCTTGTCGG